AGTGCCAAAAGACTGTATACAGGCTTAAATGGACCAGCAGTCTAATTCAGTATGGCAATTCCTATGACAAGATTATATTCTGTCATCATTCCATATTTAAATGGAAAGCATCAGTCTCACGGTGAGGAACAAAATTATATATTCAGTTTGTTAAGGCTCTTGGTTTTTTAAGTCTTTGCTATCTGTCCAATCTTTCCATAGTGGTAACCACATACCCTTCACTATTATTATTAAATGGTTGGGATAATGGTACGCTGTTCATCTTGTGTATAATTTTGGTGTCGGCTCTCAAACCAATACAACTTTCAATAAGAACATAGTTGAAATAAAAAGGATCCAAGAAACAATTTTCTCGTATTATAAAAATGATAGCCTAATCATGAAATCTAGAATTTTCAACATCTCTAAATAGGTGCGTGTGCGGGGCCCCCACCTCCCTGCACCTTTGGGGAAAAATGAAATTAGCAGAGCCAGTTCTCTTTCTATCTTCCCTAACTGCAGTCTCAGAAAGTGACTCTCTTATAGAAAACAAAGAGGTATTCAGATTAGGGAAAAGATTAATATATGTTTTTTAACCTCCTCAATAATGAAATAAAAAATCATCACATAGAGATCTTATAACTCCAAGGAACATTTACAGATTTAATGCTGTCATGACTAAAAGGAAGTCAGTATATAATGAGAAATACATAACATATATGTATGACAGATTCCACAGCAATTCCAATATCTGTAACACCTCTGAATCCAATACACTTTAAAAAACAGATAGCTTTTTAAAAAGTGAACATCATTTCAGCCCAAATAATTTTTTTAAGTCAGAACTTCCACTTTCTCTTATATGGAGAAAGAGAAAGCAATGGCTTACTAAAACCATATCTTCTCACCAACCAAAAGATCCAGAAAAGACTCATCTTTAAACCAACACAGTATGGGTATCTGGTTTAGCTAGGGTACCGCTATGTCTCAAGCTGTTGTCAACCCTACCATATTGTACAGGTGTAAAACCTGGAAACACCTGAAAATCTTGGATTGTTATCATCAGCAACATCTTCAAAAAATCTTTATCAATTGGAAGGACAGGAGAATAAATTTTAGAGTTCTGGCTTGAGCAAACACCATCAACATCAAAGTTGTGTTAATACAGCACCAGCTCCATTGGACAGGACATGTTATAAGCATACCGCAGGGGTTGTCAACCAGGGATACACATACCCCCAGGGGTTCTTGGAAAGGGGTTAGGGGATATGCGCGGGCGGGCAGGGACAGAACGTCACCACCCACCACCCTGCACTGCCGCCTCCCAGGAGCATGGCCGGTGCAGGAAGTAGGGGGCAGGGCAGCAGCTCCCCTCTGCAGGCTGCACAGGGTGGAGAGGTGGGCAGGGCAGGAAAGCTCTCACACAGCTCCCGCCACCATCCACCACCCCATGCCACTGCTGTGTATAAACCCCACCCCCTGCTCCGTTTCTGGCCGCCACCACCCATTCTGCCAGAAGTGTACCCAGAAGGGGTACACTCCTTAAAAAAGGTTGAAAACCCCTGACATACCTGATAACCAGCTCCCCAAACAAGTTCTATATTTCCAACTCACCACTGGTCACCAATGTAGAGGTGGGCAAAGGAGATTCAGGGACACTTTGAAGGCCAATCTGAAGAAATGTGGTATTAATGTCAATACTGGGGAGACTGGAAGCACGACTCATCCCCAGTAGCATGACGAAGTATAACGAGGCATCCACTGTTTTGAGCAAACTCACCTAACTATGGAGGCAGGAGAGAGATTGAGAAAAGGAAGAGCTGTGACCCAACGTCACCAGGATCCACTCCTTTCTTCTGGAACTGTTCACCCTATCTGCAGTCAGACATGAAGAGCTTAGACTGGCCTCTTCAATCCAAATTCACCAATGACCTCCCTATCTACTGGAAGACTGTCATCCTTGTATCAAGGGAGCATCAATGACAACTATATCCCACCATCTGGATCATCTCAAGCAATGTCACCTTTTTCATTAACATCTCAGAGACCAGAAGGTGAATATACATAACCGGCAGCATTTGTTAAATATACTTCCGTGGTTTTTAAGTCAGGCCAGAGCCACACCACATTGTTTCAGTCCAGAATAAAGTACGGTAAGATATAGACTTCACAGACATTAGGAAGGGACATTGGAAGATCTTTAAGTCCAGCCCCCTGCCCCAGGAGAATGAAGTCAGCAGGGATCATAGGATCCCAGCAAGATAAACATCCAAATGTGTCTTGAAGGCGTTCAAAGTAGGTCCCCTTGAACCACCTCTCGCAGCAGTCTATTCCAGACCTTGGGGGCTCGGACAGTAAAGAAGTTCTTCCTTATGTCTAACCTGAAATGGCTAAGGAAGTGTTTATGACTGTTCAATCTTGTCATCCCTTGGGGCGCTCTGGTGAACAGAGGTTCCCTCAGATCCTGGTGAGTACCCCTTATAAACTTATAGGCGGCCATCAGGTCACCCCTGAGCCTGCACTTTTCCAGGCTGAAGAGTCCCATGGCTCTCAGCCTCTCATCACAAAATCTGTTTTCCTGACCTCTGATCATGTGTGTGGCTCTCCTCTGCACTCTCAAGCTTCTCCACATCCTTTTTGAATTGTGGAGCCCAAAACTGGATGCAGTTCTCCAGCTGTGGCCTCACCAAGGTGAAGTACAACAGGAGAATGACGTCCTGGGATTTGCTTGAGAAGTATCTATGGATGCAAGCCAGAGTTTTGCTCGCTTTACTAGCTGCAGCATCACACTGATGGCTCATGTTCATCTTGTGGTCAATCATGACCCCGAAGTCCTTTTCGTCCATAGTGCTAGGCAGCGTAGCACTGCCGAGACCATAAGGATGCTGCAGGTTTTCCTTCCCAAGGTGGAGAACCTTGCATTTTTTGGTGTTAAACACCAGCAGCTTCTCATCCGCCCATTTCCTGAGCCTGTCAAGGTCAGCCTGGATCGCCCTCCTGTCCTCAGGTGTGGATGCTTTACCCCCAAATTTGGTGTCATTGGTGAACTTGGCCAGTCCACTTCTGGCTCCAATGTCCACATCACTAATGAAGATGTTGTACAGTATAGGCCCAAGGACAGAGCCTTGAGGGACCCCACTGGTCACAGCGCACCACAATGATTGACTTCCGTCAACCACCACCCTCTGGGCCCGACCATGAAACCAATTCCCCAGCCAGCAGATCGTGATGAAGCCAAGGCCGCAGTTGGCCAGTTTTGCTAAGATGTGATCATGGGATATCAGATCAAAGGCTTTTTTAAAGTCAAGATATATAACATCAATCTCTTCTCCCTTGTCCAGGTGATAGGTCACCTGGTCATAAAAGGAAATAAGATTGGTCAAGCAAGACCTACCTACAACAAACCCAGGATGGCTATCCCTCAAGATGTTGCCATTGGCCAGTCTGTTAAGAATGGCCTCTTTGATTATCTTTTCTAAGACCTTCCACAGGATAGAGGTCAGGCTGATGGCCCTGTAGTTTGGCAGATCCACTTTCCTCCCTTTCTTGAAGAGAGGCACCACATTGGCCTTCTTCCAATCTTCAGGCACTTCACCAGAGCGCCAGGAGTACTTGAAGGTCCATGCCAGGGGCTGAGCTATGATACTAGCCAGCTCCTTGAGTACCTTGAGGTGTAAACTGTCAGGGCCACCTGACTTGAAGGTATCCAGCCTCTCAAGGCATTCCTTCACAAGGTCAGCATTGATGAAGGGTAAGGAACCTCCCTCACCCGGGCCCACGTAATGGGCAGGGGTGTCTCTTGGGACTGGTGAAAAAATGACGCAAAGTACCCATTTAGCAAGTTGGCTTTTTCCTGGACTGGTTTGGTCTCTGCAGGTCTGGACCAGTGCAGAATATTCCTCCTTGGTGGGGGATCCAGTCCTCCATCCTTTGTAGGTCTTTCTTTTTAGATGCAGGAGGTCCTCTAGTTCCCTGCAGAGCCAAGGGGTCTGCTGTGTCCTTTTGCTGCCTTTCCTCTGAGATGGGATAGACTTTGCTTGTGCATCCAGGATCGCTCCCTTAAGGAGCAACCACTCATCTTGAACTCCCCTCCCCTTTGGGTCCTGGTCCCTTAGGGCCTAACTTGACAAGCCTCCTGAGCTTGTCAAAGTCAGCTTTCCTGAAGCTGAGAACTTCTGTATTGCTGACTGACTTGCCAGCTTTACGGCAGATGGGGAAGTTGATCAGTTTGTGGTCACTGTCTCCCAGCTTCCCTTCGATCATTAGGTCACCGATTAGGTTGTCCCCCGTGGCCAGTACCAAGTCAAGTAGCACTTTACCTCTTGTCGGCCCGTAGACTTCTTGAGTCAGATAGAGCTCATCCACACATGAGAGAAAGCTTTGTGACCGTTTGGATTTGGCCAAGCGCTCTTCCCACGAGATGAGGAAGAGATGAAAACAGAACAGCACAGGAGCTAAGGCCTTTCATAAGAACACTCATGAGGAAAAGCAAGTTGTTACAGTGCCTATCTTTAGACCTTTCACTGAGGGATTTCTAGTCATTTACATGTACTTGATGGCAGGTTTTGTGATATGGTACAAGTTCTCATACAGGTGCCTGCAAAGAAGGTATGCCAGGATCACACAGGAGATCACAGTCAGTTGTACAAGCATAAAATGGAAATTGCCCCCACTGTGCTCCCAGCTGCTGCAGCTAGAATGTTACTACCATCCCAGATTTTGTGGTCTCTCTACATTACAGTAATTTCTGTGACTGCGCTAGAGACCAAAACAAATCAATGGTGGAAGAATGTACCAAACAGTTTAGAGAACTAGCCAGTTATTTTAGCAGATATGCAACATGGAAGGAAGAGAAATACACCCCAAACACTTTACTCCATTGCAATGATGTAAGTCTCTCAGAAGAGAATCCCTTGCATAAAGCATCACTTCTAATCACTACACCATAAAATACACATACATGCATGCTGATCAACTCTAGCTATGGCAGCACAGAGCTCAACACAAGTTATAAAACTTACCCCAAGAAATACTGCAATGGTGACTGCAGTGTAGACACCTTCACAAAGGACAGGAGAAAAAGCAGCTTGTGCTCCTCTGCAGAGAGGGTGTGGTAACCTCAGCAATCACGTTACCAAGAAAACCTTTGTCTGTGAAATAAAATAAGGTAGCCTGCCTTCATGTAGCTGGATAGCACAGAAATATCTGTAGTTTATGACTTCTGCTCAGATCCAATCCCAGAGAAACAACATCATTAGTTGCATGTTACATGTACTAGGTGCTCAGTGTTTTATATCCATGCATCCGGATACCATTAATGTGGACTGTCTTGGGCAACATAAAACAATTGTTACAAACAACTCATTCATAGGTTATGGGAAACTATGAAAAATGTATATGGGAGCTTGGATGGGACCTTTCAAACTAAACTGTTTGTTTATTCAGAGTAAATATCATAATAAATTTAATTCAAGAACGTGTTCTGCAAGAAAGCAACAACCATCCATCTCTCTACTCTTCGCCAATTGTGTGTTACTTTTATTGGTTGCTTAGAAGAATACAGTGGAGGGAAGAAGGAGAAAATGTTTCTCCCAGCATATTAGTTACCTACTTTAGGCCCTAATAATATGGATCATTTTACTTAAAATTCAGAAATTTAGTTTGCTTAAACAAGTAATCACACACACACACACACACACACAAAGAAAGCACCTTTCTTCATTTACCTTTTGCTTCTGTAATTTATTTAACATCTATTAGCTATATTCAGTAAGTATCTATACAGTGGACACGTGTGCTTTAAAGCCCAGTAGCCTATTTTACTGGGCCTTAAAACAGCACATAAAAAACCATGCTATTATGTTAATGAGCAGTAAAATAGGCTACTGCACATTAAGTGTTACCTAAAAAGGGTAAGCTTCGCTATTGCATATTACAGCAGTCTAATGCATGTTAATTTAGTACTTCACATTGGATGGCATTTATAAACGTGCTCTGGGAGTGGAAGGAAGGCTTTAATTACTGGTGCTTTGAGAACCACTCTAATTAAAAGCACCTGGAGTGCATCTCATGTATCAGTGTCCCTCCGCTTCAAAACAGCAGCATGGATGCTTTTAATAAAGTGCCCCTGATGCCATTCTGAAGTGCGGGAATGCTGATACATAAGATACAGGAGGCTGCTGGAATGCAGTAATTGCCACAGTCCAATCTCAATTAAACAAGTCTGTTCTGACGTGCTAGAATTACAGCATGTCAGAGCAGCCTCCCTGCCTGTGTATAGGCACCCAGGAGGTACTAAATTTAATGTGCATTAGAAAAAGCACATTAATGAACATGTAAATGCACCCAGTGTCTATACAACAAATGATTATTACAGTTACCACTGAAGTTTTCATATTTGTTATCCAATAATCCCTCATTTTCCATCATTATCAACTCTATTGGTTTTTATTTTTAATGAGCAGAACATGACAAACGAGGCAAAAATTATTCAAAAGGCAGCAATCAAAATATTCAAAAGAGACAGAAACCATGAAAATAATGTGCTTAAAAGCAATTCCCACCCAAAAATTAAGACTCAGCCCCAAACATAAAATTCAATTAAAATATCATTTCCAGATGATGCCAAAAATAGAACTAAAAATCTTATCAAGCAGACTTTTTTCCAGCTATTAAACCAGAGTAATTAAAATGAACGATAATCCTTTTGTTTAAAAAACTAGTCAGTCATCACTTATAATAAAATAATCATTTTAGACCATAAAAGACCTAAATGCAAGGAGTCCATTAAAGTAACAAAAATCCAGCTACACACCACTTTTGTATCAATCCTAATGAACAGAATTACATTTGTAAAATGGCTACGGACTATAAACTTCTTCTGTCTCAGCTTTAATTAAGCCAAGTCACTTGTAACACTTCACACAAGCTAAGTCAAGGTTTACATGCGGATTTTCTCATTTTGGTTTGAAGCATTTTTCCGTTTTAATTCCCCTCTGCAAAATGGACTCCACCTCTCCTCCCGTCCCCTCTCCCCCTACCCTTCTGCCCCCCAAAAAAGATAGTGAGCCACATAAAAGGACTTCATTTAGGTAGACTTCAGTAGTTCCCCACAGTCTACCGTGCAAATTCCATACATAGGTTGCATGTGCACTTAGACTGACATCTTAAAAACATGATATTGGTGCATTAGAATACAGCAAATACATTATGAACTGAAAAACATGGGTCTTTTACATTTTCAGCAGTTACAAAGACAGCTTATTGCACTCTCTGTACTACTTAACATTGCCTCAAGACCTGTGCTAGTGTTCAAGTTATTTTCCTGCTTTAACAAATATACTTTAAAAGAATAAATCACTTTGCAGTACTATGTCACTAAAGCATTTACAGGCCCTGATCCTGCAATTACATGTGCACAAGTTTTTTTCAACTCAGTATTAATTAAATTTAATCCTACATATAAAATTGAAACACAAACAGTCAGATACATGAAACGAAGGAGAAAATGAGTGGGGAGATGAATAAGTATAAAACCCAAGACTGGGTGTGATACACACCATAACCTGCTGAAAAGCCAACATCTCATTTTTTCATCCTTGTGTTTATTTTTACATTTTTTGTTATCCAATAATCCCTTATTTGCCATCTTTATCATCTCCATTTCTTGGATTTTATTTTTAATAAGCAGAACATGACAAAGGAGGCAAAAAATATTCAAAAGAAGCCATGCTGGACCGAACAAAAGCTAAACTAGATCATACCATGACAGCAGAGCTTACCACGGAGATATGCTAGGATAAAAACCTTAATATTCATTAAATAAATCCAAATAAGGCAGTACAGGCTCTGTCTAGGACACCTGGGTAGAAAATCTGGGATGGACATTCTCATAGGACAACAGGGAAAAACTTTAATAGATTTTCCTCCATGTCCAACACCCAATTATGTTGACATCACAATCAAAAGCAACACCTTTATGATTCATCTAATGTATTACCTCTGTGTCTTAAGCAGGAACAAGCCTCTGCATATCACAGGGAATACTATATTTGTTCAGACTAAGAGTGCTTAATCTCTGGCCCACAGGGCAGATCTACCCCCTCCCCTCTCCCCCACCGTGCTTCCAGTGCCATGTTCTCTAGCCTGTAGTGGTCCCCATGGGTCCAGACATTTGGCCGGGGGGGAAGAACAGTGCTCCTGCTCCCAAGTTTCCAGACCACTGGGGAGCCCCGGACCCCATACACTAGATTGAGCGTGTGGGGCTCAACCTTAGCATGCAGGTCTAGAAGGGGATGGTGCCAGACCCCACAGCGCACTCACAGAACATGGAGCCAATGCACGGGGCCCAATATCAGTATGTGGGAACAGGAGGAGACAGTGTAGAGCATGATCCAGGCACAGGGCCTGTTCTGGCCCACAAACTAGTCCCCTGCCACTCACCTGGCCTGCACAGGCAAAAAGTTGAGCACCACTGGTTCAAACCAGTAATCTCTCTTACAACTTGCCTAGTCTATGAAAAGTGTAGTGCTCTCATACAAAAACTAATTTGCTTGTACCAAAGAAGTTTCTTTCTAAGCCCCAGGCAGTGTTGGTGTACTGCGAGAGAGGCAGCGAGCTGCTGGGAAGGGATGGCCTCCACCTCTCTCCCCTAGGGAGGAGGCTCTTCTCAGCCAGACTGGCTGACCTGCTCCACCGGGCTTTAAACTAAGCCCGTTGGGGGATGGGGGGACTACTGCCACTGCTGGCCCGCTGAGCAATCCTTGCAAAGCCAGCAGATCACGGCGCTTGAGGGAGCCCACCCCTGCCCCAGCCCTGGTAAAATCTGTGTGCAAGGAAGGAGCCCCCCAGGGGGCACTTGCCTGCCTGTACACTAATGCCAGGAGCTTGGGGAATAAGCAGGAGGAGCTCATCCTCATGCTCAGTGCAAACAATTACGATGTCATAAGGATAA